GAAAATGAGGACAGCAGTTCAAAAGCCATCTCTTTTATTGCTTCATACACATTGAACCTTGAAGTCAATGCTGCCCCCTGTTTCCTTAGTTTTGTATTGTTCTTTTAGATCTGTTTGTACCCAGTGTCTACATTGAAAAGCTAGGGTGTGTCTGATATAGGATACAAAGCATTTCTAGTGAATGAGGGTTGTGTCTAATGTACAGTATGCATCCCTATACTCTGTTCAACAGACAAGATAACATTGTAAAGACATCAGCAAATGCACTTCAGTCTGGAACCTAAGCAGAGTTACATAAACACAGTGAGTCTACAGTAGGAGAGTACGGATAATAACAACCAAAATGAAATGCCAGTTATACAAGTGCAGCCTAACCATAAATGGTTTGTTATAGGAGGAAGAGGGTTTTATAGCTTTGTGCGCTGCCAAATGTAACCTGTGAGTTAACCCGTGTTACAGTCTGAATATTGTGCTTGTAGTCTTCTGTGCACATGTGAGCATGTAGAATAATGCAACAAACGGCTCTATGGATAAAAGTTCATGTAATTCACCCCATTTTGTTACTCTGACTACTGCAGCAAATAGTCAAAAATTTACATCCCTATAATAGCAATTATCATGACTACAGAATCAATCAACTCATAAATCTAAATTACCGATATTCATTAATTGGCCTATTCTAAGTGGATCAAACAAATCTTCTAATGCAGCATTCATCAGAATCAGGGGATGTCAATGTACTGCAAGTCATTATATTAGCATAGGGCCATGGTATAATGAGCATTTATGTACATCAAAAGTGCTCATTGTCACACCGAATTTCCAACATGCTAGAAAATATGTGGTAAGTGTTTATATTTAATAATTTTTTTTTGTGTTTGTCACACTTGTTAGAAATACCCATAGGGGCAGACTAGGGGAACTGAATTGAATCATATAATAAGTGCCCATAGTCAAAGAGGCAAAGCAAATAGATTGCCTCTTTTTTAGTAATTTCTGTGAAACACATGAGTTTCTGCGTACTATATTTTATGCTGAAAAAAGAAGACAATGAGAGTTTATTTGGTGTGTGATCATCGTTCATTTTTGAATGTCCATAGTCTGCTGATCTAACCTTTCTTATCTGAATCAGGTAGTATTCCCATGGCTGTGAGGCAACTGCAACCAATCTAGGCCTACAGCCTCAGGTTTAAGAAAGTGATCATACAGGTTAGGAAACCTCTGATGTTAGCCCCATGATCTGACCCCATGACAGTGTGTAGCATGTTGAGCAGATCTTTTTTGCTTGAATTTTTTTGCCATATGATGGCTCCTGTTCAAGTTTGATATCAGGCCACATTATATTGTGAAATGTGGGAGTTAGGAGTTTTAAAGAGGTCCCCCTATTGTCCTGCAAAGGCAGGCAACACACATCTTCACACAGGCTTGCATTCAGAGTCAGAGATCAGTCCTTGAGTTTGTTTTTTTTCGTTATTTTTATTAAGGGATATGAACTGGTATAGGGTTAGGGGTGTACAGAATGCCCAAGAGAACTGATGAACTGAGGACAACTTCCTGGAACTTTTTAGAAGCCTCCACACATAGCGCAGTCTCTGTTAGAGAGCTAGCCAGTGTCTCCTAATGTACCACCCCAGACCCTAGATGAACTCTTCTTCCTTCAGTCAGCAATCTGGAGGTATCCTTGAACAGGGGATCTGGCGCCTGTTGCTTTAAGAAATAGACAGTCCCAGGCAGGTGGTGAATCTGGTTTCCCACCAGAGTGCTCCTTCCCCTATCCATCCAGGGGGTGCAGGGGTACTCACTCAGAACCACTGATTGGTTGGTGGCTGCTACCAGGCCTTCAAGCTGGGACTCTCCTTCCCTGCTGTACAGGTGGTCTTCACTCTGGGGGCCAGTGAAGCTCTGAGCTTTCTTCCTTTCCAGCTTCCCTGCCTGTAGGTGGGTCCCTCTCTCCATGTGGGCCACCTCCCTGGCTCCAGCCTTCAGCCTAACATCTTCCTCTTTGTCTTCCACCTGAACTCCCCTGCAGCCGAGCAGGCTCAATCACTTATAAGGGTTGTCATGGCCCCTTGCCAAGCCTCCTGTTGGGGATTCTTAGATTGTAAGCTCTAAGGAGCAGGGCCCTCCTAACCCTCTTATATTGAACTCTGTTGTTGCTGTATTGTCTCCCTTTTATATCGTAAAGCGCTGAGAAAACTGTTGCTGCTATATAAATCCTGTATAATAATAATAAAAATAATAATAATAATAATTGGCCAGGATCCCTCAAGATCCTCCCATTGCCTCTAGACCTTCCTCTAAAGCAGGGGGAAATTAAAGATGGGTTGGCCCGCAGAACCTCTCAGCCCTGACCACAATTTGACCTCCTGACTATTGCACCCAGGCTGCTACTCAGCCCTCCTCTCTAACAATCAGAACTCTAGCTCCCTCTAGCTAAGTAGGAGGGTGTTAAAGATCATTAAATCATACCTGCATGTCCAGCAGCTTTCTTATGTCCATTCCCAGCCATATACAGCCTGTTTTTTTTTCTCTTTTAAATCACCATGACCCTTTCACACATTGCTAGAGATAGTCTGATCCAGGGGTCTCCAAACTTTCTAAAAAAAAAGTGCCAGTTTACTGTTCTTCAGACTTTCTGAGGGCCAAGATTTGGCCAGAGTAGAAAATGCTTTGGCTACAATGGGAGTATACAATGCTTCATCATTGATATTAGTGGGAGGAATAGTGCGAATTGTTGGTATCAAGGAAATTAATAGTGCCCTATCATTGGTGTCAGTGGGAGGAATGGTGCTCCATTGTTTGTGTCAGTCTGAGGAATAGTCCCTTTTATTTTTGAAGGAATAGTGCCATTTGTTGATATCAGGGGAAGGAATAGTGCTCCATTATTGGTGTCAGTGGAAGGAATTGTGCACCACTGTTGGTGTCCAAGGGCTGGATAAAGGCAAGCAAAGGGCCTTCATCTAGTCCCCAGGCTGCAGTTTGAAACCACTGGTCTAGTAGTATAGGAACAGTACATAGGTAGTATGGGGTTAGGAGAAAAGAAGTCTTTAAAATCTTCCAGAATGCACTGAACACCAAAGGGAGACCACCTTTTTTTTGCACATAAAAGTAACACACATAAAGGAAAATGAATGTCATGACAAGGAATGGCCAATACCTCAACTGCTTATGTTCACATTAAAATGGGTGCAATAAGTAATGATGCATTTTGCCTTTTTGTTTTTAGTTACCCTAAATGGCAATATACAGATCAGCATTTTAACAATACAGCATGTAGGACCATTTCCCAACACCCTGCAATACAACCCATCCATGGGAATAAGTCCTGTTAGCCCTGTTTCATAATGGTGTGACTTGTCAAGGGATTTGACAGTTTCAAATCGCATGCAAAGTCGCAGTCTATTGTCCTCAATGGAACCATTCAAATCTGTGTGACTCTGATTTTACGGTGCTGTACCGATTTGGAAAAAAGATTCCTGCACTATTTTTTGCGATTTCAGGTGCAACTTACATAGATATCTCTTCATGAAGTTGCACAGATGTCTGCCAAGTTGCACTGACATGCTGCTTTGAAATTGTGCGCCTTCAAGTGAAGTAGCTTGATTTCAAAATCAAATCCAGTGTGACGCAGGGCTTAAATTCCATCTATTTTCTCTTGTCTTGGCTTAACCCAGTTAATTTTAATAATTCAGTACAAAGGGCATTGCACGGTAACCAAAGCCAGAAAATCAGATTTTGCCTACTTCATTTTAGAGCACTTAGTGAAAGTGAAACCGTGAAAGCTGATTGGCTAGTAGGGATGAGCCTGTTTTTATTGAGAACTGGATGCAGAAATCAGCTGTCATGCCTAGTCCAATGAATTGCAGGGAATTCTTCTTTCTGCACACCTGATGTATGCAAAGGGGTGGGGTTGCTTGAGACATCCTTGACGTTATAAAGCCACATAGCCATAACTGGTCAAAGACACTGACCTATGTGGCAGTATTAGGACAATGATGTCAACTGCGTGGGTTTCCTCCGGGTACTCCGGTTTCCTCCCACACTCCAAAGACATGCTGGTAGGTTAATTGGCTCCTGTCTAAATTGACCCTAGTATGTATATGTATGAATGTGAGTTAGTGACTTTAGATTGTACGCTCCTTGAGGGTTAGGGACTGATGTGAATGTACAATATATGTATGTAAAGTGCTGTGTAAAATTGACGGCGCTATATAAGTACCTGAAATAAATAAATAAGCATCCCTACGGCTTTGTAAACATCAGCTCATTGGACTTGGAATGACAACTGACTTCCATGATCAGATCCAAACTTAAGCCAGCCATACATGGGTCAAAATCCAAAAAAATTTTCTTTAGAAAATCTTTTCTAAGACTTTTCACTTGAATTTCGCACCATTAGTGGGTCACAGAAATGGCCGATTTTCAAGTGACCATCTGAGTGATCGGGTATGTTGGAAAATTTTTTGAAAAATAAACAAATTTTGAATCAATGATGGGATGAGAAATATAAACAAAAAAGAAACAAGCATGAACTGTGACCTGGAAAGAAAAGAAAATTCTTGGCCACGAAAATTATTTACTATAGCAACATGAGGTGAAATTGAAGGCTTGGTTGGTTGAATTTCAAAATCAGTGGTGGCTCCATCAGATTTCAAAACACACAAAATTTCAGATTTTCTAAAGTAAATTAGTTCGGAATTCGACCCATGTATGGCCTGCATTAGTTCTGAACATTCCTACTGGCTTGTATGGGTTCCTGTATTGTTTGTCATATGTTCTTGTGCTGAATTTCATTATGGAACCTATACAAATTACGTTATTTACTTCAACTTTATTAAAAGAGACCATCTCTATCTATATCCATTATACTGCTGATGGCGCTAGCAGCATATCCTGTGACTTGTAGTTCTCAAATAACCACAGAGATGCAGGTTGACTGTCATTTCTGAAGATTCTTCACATTGTTGGAAAACCATAATGTCTTTGGGTGTGTCTTGTAGGAGTTGCAATCGCAGATAAGCAGCATGCAGCTGGACCTGGCTATGAAGGAAAACTCTATCAGTGTTGTGAAAGGAGAGTTAGAGGCACAGCACAGACACCTGCAAAATATCTCAGGTATTCTCATTATGTAAATGCAGCTTTGTTTCTTTTCCATCTCCTACTTAAATTGAGGGTGTGTCCTGAGCACAAAGGTAACAAAACACCACCTGTCTGGGGGGGCTCAGCAGCCACCTGTTCTGTCTCTGCCTCTGTAATATGTGTTTTCTGACATGGCCCACACAGTGTGACAAAAGCATGTTACTGGTCACATTCTCACTCTGTTTTCAGCTTAGGCCTTATTCACTGCATTAGTCCATTTATCTTCAGGCTAATAAAATAATTGTATTGTTAATAAATAATGCAGGATACCTATACTTTTACATAACCTAATCCTAGCTGCCTGTTTCCTTCCCTATTCTAGCTATACTCACTTGTACTGATTAGTGGGTGACCCAGTCCAAGTTGTGGCCCACAGGGAGAGGTCTTTTTAGTTAAGGCCTATAGCTAAAAGTCAGGACAGGACTGCAGCTTTGCTTAGCCCAATGTACGCCGTAACTCCTGGCGCAGATCGCTTGCTGCTGTAAGGAACCTAGAGCTGGGTATAGAACGGGAAGGTTGAGGGGAGTAGTTAGGATTAGGTTATATAATCGTAAAACTATCCTTTCAGGGCTTTGGCCCTACTTTTCCTTTAACCATTCCCTACTGGGCACTTTTACCCCCTTCGTGCCCCAGATAATTTTCAGCGTTCAGTGCTGTCGCACTTTGAATGACAATTGCACGGTCATGCAACATTGTACCCATATGAAATTTTTTTCTTTTTTTTTACACAAATAGAGCTTTCTTTTGGTGGTATTTAATCACCACTGGGTGTTTTATTTTTTTTGCACTATAAACAAAAAAGAGCAGGTAATTTTACTCCTTCACTGATCTGCATTCATGAGGCTGTACTGATAGGCTGCACTGATGAGGCTGCACTGGTGGGCACTGATGAGGAGGCACTGATGAGGAGGCACTGATGAGGAGGCACTGATAGGCGGCAATGATGGGCACTGACTGACAGCACTGACTCATGCCACTGCTGGGCGGCACTGATGGGCACTGGTGGGTGGCACTGCTGAGCACTGGTGGGTGGCACAGCTGGGCGTCACTGCTGGGCACTGATCATCAGTGCCGATCTGCGCTGTCTCATTTGCCGGTTATCGGCAATACTTTCCTCACGCTGTGACAGTGTGAGAAAAGTGCAGCTGATAACCAGCAACTGTAAATACTCAGTGATTTGCTGTGTTATTGAATACAGGTGATCACAGGGTAAAAGGCCACTGTGATTGGCCTTTTACTTTATCATGTGATCAGCTATGTCCGTAGAACACAACGATCAGAGATCGCCGGATGATGCCCTCCCAGAACTGGACAACCGTGCTGTAGCTGTCATTCAGCTATAGTGCGGTTGGCAAGTGGGTAAAGTCTTACTAAACCCAGGACCCTGCATTCACTCTATCTGGTCTCCCATAGTACACAGAACTTAACAGAACAGTAAATATAAACTGCTAAATACCTTTTTCTCATCAGCAGTTAGAGCAATCTTGTGAGTTCTATCAGTGTTCAGCAGAGCACTGGTTAAAGCTTGTAGGAGAAGTTTTCTTTGTGCTCTAGGAGGATGCAGAACCTCTGTCTGGATAGTGCTGATTTGCCCTGTGCTGATCACATGCACTCTCCCAAGAAATAAAAAAACCTCTGTAGAAATACACACCGAACTGAGCATGTGCAGAGTTTCTCCACACGATATGTCTTATCAGAAAAGAACACTGGAAGAAGAGGAGGATCAAAGAAGTCAGGATCAAACTGCATTTTTACACAATGCAGAAGATTAACCCCTTAGGTTCCACAGTGAGTATATCAAGCATGCTTTACTGCATATACAGACTGATTTTATTGTTGTGGGTTTAGTAACACTTTCATGGCTTTGTGCTTCTGTGCTTAGTATGAGGGGTGTTCAAATCAAACCAGGACTTTTAAATTTACAGGTATAAAATAGGATGCTAGCATGGCGGTACTATATGCAGTAGTATGTTGCAAGTGTCTCCTATTACTGATAAGCGGGGCACATGTCGCGAGCCAGTCCTGAGACCTGTAATCAAGATGGCAGACAACACTGTTAGTGAGTGCATGGAGCACAGTGTGATGATAAAGTTTCTTGTGAACGAAGGCATAAAACCCGTGGATATCTACAGAAGACTTCAAGCACAGTATGGTGATGAGACGTTCAGTCGCAGTAAGACATTTGAATGGTGTAAACGTTTCAAAGATGGCTGTATGTTCGTCAGTGACTATCCCGGCTGTGGTGGTTCCCAGCCCACAGTAGTCATTCCTGTGAACATTCAACACGTGGGATTCCTGATCCTTGATAATTGACGCATAACCTGTCATGAAATTGCACAAGAGACTAATCTTTCTGTGGGAACAGTGAACACAATGGTGACAAAGCAGGCTGTGCTAGGATGGTATCCAAAGCTTTCCAGGCATTGGTTAAATGCTGGGATAAGTGTATAAACGTAGCAGGGGAGTATGTTGAAAGATAAATGCAGTTTCCACTCCTTGAAATGTATTCTTTTATTATCTCCAAAAGTCCCATTTTGACTTGCATGCCCCTGGTATGTTTATCTGCATTGTATAAAGAAGCAAGTATGTGCATTGTGGGTAGTTTTTGTAGAAAATGTTTTTTCTCTGATTTACAGTAACCAAAGCATTAACAGCGAAGTTGAGCTTTTTAAGAAAATAGCCTACACACACAAGTGGCTATAGTAGGTTAAAATACATTGCGTATTTTTGAATAATGTTGTTTAATGCATACTGTACCTCCCAACTTTTGAAGCTGAGAATGAGGGACACTTCAGGGCAACAACAACCTGCTGTGATGAAAAATGGGTGTGGCTAAAGGTAGGTGTGGTTAAATTATGATGGCCGGAAGGGGACAGTATAGCACCTCCTGGGTGCCTCAACTACCACCCCTTTTAGCTTCAGAGGCAGCACCTTGAGGTGTACACATGCTGCGGTCACCATGCTTTGTTTCACAGACGCAGCTTGAATTTCACCCCTTGTCAAACACAACCCTTTCAAGTAAATGGTGCTGCTCTGCAAGTGCCCAGTTGTGGCAAGGTCGTGTAATGGTTAGAGGATACAATATCTCCTTAACGGTTGTCAAATGCATATCACTCTTCAGAGACCAAAATGTGAGCAAACTTTTAAATTTGGGGGTTTTTTTGTTTTGTTTTTTTTTTTACAGTTTTTAGATTTTTTTTCTTTTTACATTTTAACAGCCCTGTTGAGGGATCTTTGGTGTCTCACTTTTTGTACAGATAAGATCCCTTTTTCTGTATCCCCAGCTGCATTGGACACTAAATGAATAGGAAGCGTTCTATGCTGAGTGACTTGCTCTTCATTCACAAACTGAAGCATAGTAAACACCAGGCGCGGACTGGCCATAGGGCACACCAGCAATTGCCTGGTGGGCCAGGGTCACCTAGGTTAAAAAGACTGGGCCGCACAGCGGGAGGTAAGTGGCGACCATGGTCTGGATGGGGATAATACAGACCACAGCCGCCGCTCACCTTCTGCTGTGCGGCTATCCCCAAAGCAGGACCGACAGGAGGAGCGGCAGTGAGGGCTCCTGAAGACAAGCAGGAAGCGCCACTGACACACGGACACCTCCTCGACCAGCCGCTGCACTAAAGGGAGGTCTGCCTCGCTTCTTCACCCGCCGGCACACTGTGACAGGTCTGTAGCGGCGGTGGATGGGAGTGTCTTTGCTGGGCGGGCTGTCTCTTTTGCTGGGCGGGCTGTCTCTTTGCTGGGGGGCTGTCTCTTTGCTGGAGGGGCTGTCTCTTTGCTGGAGTGGCGGTTTCTTTGCTGGAGGGGCAGTTTCTTTGCTGGAGGGGCGGTTTCTTTGCTGGAGGGGCTGTTTCTTTTGCTGGATGGGCTCTCTCTTTGCTGAATGGGCTGTCTCTTTGCTGGTTGGGCTGTCTTTTCTGGACTGGGCTGTCTCTTTGCCCAGTTTGGTCCAGAAAAGAGACATCCCAATCCAGCAAATACACAGCCCAGCCCAAGAAGGGATATCCCCATCAAGCAAAGAGACATCCCTGTCCAGCAAAGAGATATCCCAATTCAGCAAAGAGACAGCCAAGTCCAATAAGGGACATCCCCATCCATCAAAGAGACATCCCTGTCCAGCAAAGAGACATCCCGTCTTTGCTATATGGGGATCTCTTTGCTGGATTGGGCCATCTCTTTGAATATATAAGGGGCACTGTGATTAGATCTCTAGGGGCACTGTAATGTAAAGGGGCACTGTGATATAAAGGGGACTACGCTGTAAAGGGGCACTGTAATCAGTACAGTGCCCCTTTACAGTGCAGTCCCTTTATATCACAGTGCCCCTTTATATATATTACAGTGTGGAGAACCGACTCCTTGAATATTCCATCATCAACTGCCCCGTGAATGCCCTTGCACCCCCCCCCCCCCCCCCCCCCCCCCCCCCCCCCCCCCCCCCCCCCAAATTGGCTGCTCAGTCTAAAATGCCCGGGCCTATTTTTTGTCACAGTCTGGGCCTGGTAAACACAGGTATAACAGTGGAGGGAGAGGGGGGCTGCTGGGTGTAGACACTGTAGATTTCCCTGTGCAGCTGGCAGGAGGGAAAAGAAGAGAGGAGAATCTGGCTGCACTGCAGATGGATTGGAGCCGGGTTCAGATCAGGGGGACTAGTGGAGCCCAGAACTCGTTTTGCCACTAGGCTCCAGGATTTAGCCTGGATTTGCAGGATGCTGGGATTTCAATGAAATTTCAGGAAAGTTCCACCCATTCTGGAACAGTTGGGAGGTATGTTTAATGTAAGTGCATACCTGTAGGCCATTTCCACCTTTCCCAGAAGCCTGGCCAAAAAAATCCCACTTAGTGTTGACATGTTCTGCCCAAGTTTTAAGACAGGGCAGCTGTTAAGGGCTGGCTCCCAGTGTCATAGAAGCAAGCAATGTTCTTATTTAAATCCCTGCAGCTGAGCTCCAGA